GCGCAGTGCACGTAAGGAGGGCGGGTTTGGTGTGACTTTCCCTGCCTCCCTGTGACTCGGAGCCTGTGCTGTGCTGTGATATAAGAGTATTTCTTTCCCTGCCTCGAAGGAAACAAATACGACCACCTACCTCACCATGGGAAGATGTTTTTCCCCAGCAAAGGGAGGACCCAGGACCCAGAGATGCCACAACCAGGTCTTCCGGGGGGGAACAAGCCAACTTTCCCTGTCCCCAGCACTGGAGCAGCATGGAAAGGGCAGGGCACAGCCAGCTTGCGTTATCCCCATTTTACAGTGGCAGGTGACATGACCAAGATGACACAGGGAAAGTGTGAGCCCAGGGGATGACCCTGCTGTGCTCCCTGATGCTACGCCAGAGTTCTCAGCAGGTTCTGCGGTGCCACATGAAGAAGCCTGTTAGGAGCTGCTCTGAGAGGTGCATGGCGTCCACTCTGCCTTCCAGATGAGACATAGAGGTCCGCAGCTGACAGCTCTGCTCAGCAGATCCAAGACTCAGGAGGGCCTGCGTGGTGGCCCTGTGTCTCTAAGGACCTTGTCCCTCCCCTGGTGGCTGTCCTAGCCGGGCCTGGCAGGGAGCACTGCCCTGCAGTTCAGGCTGAGTGATGAGGAAGGAGATCCAAGCGTCTTACCTCCTTGAGCAGCAAAACCATTCCTGCTGATCTGTCTCCTTGTTTCCCAGCTGTCACCCCACAGGCAAGTGGGGACCCCAAGGTCCTTGCTGGGCAATGGGACAACCTGTTGCCCTATTTCTGAGAAAGTGTGAAGAAGGGACAGGAGAGGCACAGGTCTTCCGTGGCCTGAGCCAGAGCTCGGAGCAATTGCTCTAGCACATAGCACTGGACACCTCAGAGCCCATAGGAGGAGCCTTGGGCCCTTGCTGGGGGCAGCCCCGGGGATCTGCAGAGGGAGCAGAGGGGCACCATGCAGACCCCTTAGTCCAGCAGGGATTCCCTCCCTCCTTCTTTGCATAACCTTTCACATCTCTTGAGCCTGGGGTCCAGCCCTGGGCCTGTGATACCTGGAACCAGCATCTCAGCATCACCAGCGTCCACTGTGGCAGGCCTGGGCGCTCTCCCTGCAGCTGCAACCACCCTCTGGGCAGCGTCCCAAGGCTTCTAGGGACATGGCTCACGTCGATTCACAGATGGGCTCTGTGGGCAGGGTGGGCTTCAGGTGAGCTGAGCCCCCTGACAAGGAATCCAACCCCCAGGCACTCCTGGGGTTGGAGCGTGGCAGAGGTGACCTCATGCTCACAATGTGCAAGCTGAGCCAGCTGGCTTCCCCCCCGATCCCAGGAGTGTCCTAGACCTCTGCCTGCCCCAGACTTGGTGGTCCTGCATGTGTGACTTGATTCCTGCGGGGGTTCAGCTTCCTTTGGACCCCAGGACCAACCACCCCATATCCACCATGGCTCTTAGCAAGCTCCAGAGCCTCAGGTTATCCAGTCAGCCTAGGCTGCTGCCCTCCCCACATGCAAGCCCCAGGCCTTGGGTCCCTAGAGGCCCAAGAGATATGCAGGACTTCCACGCAACTCAGGGCTGCATCTGAGGTGCAGCGAGGCCCAGTCGGGAGGTGGTTTGGAGCCATCCGTGGTGAACATGCTCCTAACAAGCAACACTCAGACCTGCCCAGGTCAGCCCTGCCTCAGCCTTGTCCCCAGCCCAGGCAGGCAACACGGGTGCTCCATGAACGGCTGCACAGAAGGGCTTTGAGCTCAGTGTGTAGAGCACACGACCTCTCCTAGAGAGCCAAAGGAACTGCAGTTTCTGCTTTCTGAAGGTCAGAAGGGGTTGAGAACGGACAAATGGTAGTGGAAGCAGAGAAGGCATCATGGTGCACAGAGCAGGACTGTGAGGCCACTGATGAGCTGTTGCCAGATCCAGTCCTGGATGGCTTGGGAGAGGGACAGCCAGCCAGCCCCTCACCTAAGCCTCAGTTTCCCTAGCTGTGCCAGGGGAGGAGCTGGGTGTCTGGGTTTCATTGCCAGCCAGTGGGTACCGGCACAACCGGTGAGGGTTGAGCCTGCTGCCCAGACCCCTCCCATGTCTGCCTCTCTCTGGAGGATCGACTGGTGAGGCCTGTGTTGCTGGATGCTTGTGCCCCCAGGACATGGTGAGCAGTGGCTGTCACAGCAGCCCGCCAGTGCCTGGTCCTGCCCCCACCCCAGAACTCTAAGAATTCCAAGTCGCCATCAATGAAACATCCAGCTCAATGTGGGCTGCATGTACGATCACAGGGATGGTGAAGCCTGCAAGCAGCGCACAGATAGGGAACTTGGTTCACCCTGCAGACCCCTCCTGAAGGCTCCCCAGGTTGTGCCTCCTGAGCTGGGCCCAGAAGAGACAGCAGAGGCAATAGTGGGGCCCTGTGGTGTGATAAAGCCAGCCCTGCCATCCTGTGGCCTTGCACTTCCCCTCGCTGGGCAGCAGAAACACCACTCAATTAAGACAATTAAATCACCCCCCCGGCCTCGTCTCAAACCACAGTGTGGGCCAGCGGTCAGCCCCACAGCAAGGCCGACCCAGCGCTTCCTCCGGAAAGATAGACAGATGGACTAGAGCAGGTGACCCAGCATCCCCAGCAGCCCAAGAGGGGCTGAGAAACTAGCAGAATCAGCTCAAAGGCCTGGGCTGAGGAGACCCCATGACATGACACCACAGTGACACCGAGCTCACGTTCCCAGACACGCCTGCAACTCTCCAGAGCCCAAGCAGGGGCCAGGCAGAGGTGGGGCTTTAGTCTGGAGAAGCCCTCAAAGGTGACCTGAGCTGGACCCCAGCCCAGTCCTTCTGTCCCTACAGGCTGTGTGACACTGAGCCTCACCCTACACCTCTCTGTGCCTTCTTTCTCCTCTGAGAAAATGGTGACCACAAGTTGTATCCCCCCTACCCTCAGAGGGGTACAGGGATCAGACCTGCAAGGTGATGTGCACAGGTGGACATTGCTGTCACCTTGTCCTCCCACAGTGTCCCTGTGTCATCATCCCAGCTCAGGTTCTTACACCAGCTTCCTGCAATTCGGATCCACCCTGGGCCTACAAAGCTATAAAGGCTCAAGGTTCCTGCCCAGGAAGCTCCATGTACAATGACTTCCAGACAAGCCATTGTCCTCCTGTGAGTGTGCCTGTGTCTGGCCTGGAATATACCCAGTATAACAAAGGATTTCATGTCCTCTGAGCCTGGCATCCAAGGGTGTCCTGTGTGTTCAGCTTGCTGGAGCTCCAGACCTCAACTATCCTTCCCTTGCTGTGCACGGACCCCAGGATCACATAGCCTGGGACCCGGCCTGTCACCCACCAGTTGTGATACATGGACTGCTGGCTTCTCCTCTGGTGTTATCTTCTCATCTCAGAAGGGGCTCATCCATGGCACGCACTTTCATTTGGCTGTGTGTCCTGTTCTCAAGAGGCCTCTGCATGAGGAGAGAACCATGCTCACATCTGGGCTGTGCAGGCATTCACCCCACATATGTCCCCAAGTACCAGGCCCTGTGTCCCTTCTGTGTTTCTGGGTCATGCAGAACCAGCTGCACCACACAGGCTGGCTCCAGCTTGCCACACAGAATACACCCCTCGTTGGGTCCTCACTTGTGGCATGGACCCTCTAGTGCCCATTTTCAGTGTGGCTGTCACCTGCAGTGCTATCTCTTCACCTAACAGGCATCCAGGTGAAGGCATGCAAGTTCCAGAGATGTGCAGGCACTGGCTTCTGGGAAGCATGTGTCCACAGTAATGACAAGGAGACCAGAGCAACAGGTCCCCTCAGTGTCCACAAAGCAAATGCCACAGGTCATTCCACGCCAGTGTCCTGCCCCTGTCTGCCCCAGATGGTACCCACCCTCCTCCCTGAGCCCTGCATGGGACACAGGCAGGGGAGTGGGCTTAGCATAGGGGGATGCAAGAGACACAGTCTGACTTTCAGATGGCCTTAAGACACAGGACTAGGGTCTCTGCTGCTATCGCACTCCCCTTCTCTGTGCCTCAGTTGGCCCTTGCAGAGACAGTGAACCAAGATGCAGACCTGTAGCTCAGAGCTTTGCCACAAACATGACTGAGCTGTCAGTATGCTGAGTGCACAAAGCCAGGTGGGCCCCTCTGAAGGCTGGGGTAGCTTCTGGGGGAGGACAGAGAGTGATCTCCAGTTTCTAAACATCTGGGTGACACTCAACATATGATTTGTGTCAGAGCCATGGGAGCCTCAGGGAAGGCACAGCCAGCTGGGAAGTCAGACGGGCCTCGCCGCACGGCCCAAGCCAGTGAATGCCTGCTACTCTCCAAAGAAATATGCTCCCAAATCTGAATTGTTACTATAACTAATATGATTAATAAACAATCTCAGACTAGATTGATATCCAGGTGTTGCAGCGTGAAGAAGGTCCTGTGGAACCCCCTGGGGTTTGCATTTAAGATTTGCAGAGTGGGATTGTTTTAATTAGTTTACACTTCATCCTGAGGTCACTGAATATCCTCCCAGACAGCTTTCTGGTTATTTTCGCTGTCACAACAGACTCTTCAGTCTCCTGTCAACAGTAAATCGAACGCCGATGATGCTGTTGCCGCTTGAACCTGGCCACTCTGGTTCCCAGCGCTGCAAACCTGAGTCCCTAATTCAGTAAGCAAAGAGCCTTTGGTCAAGTTTTACTAGCAAGAAACAAGTAAATAATAATAAATTCATAACTGGGCCAATTGTATTAGGAATCCCAAAGGCTTAAAAGAGGTCCCTGAGGATTGCTTGGATGGTGGACAAATTCATGAATATTAGAGAGGAATATGAATTAACCTTGTGTTGGTTTTCCCTGAAAATGCTTATGTCTGGAATTTTGTTGAGTCTGTGTTTGAATTTTTAAAAAAAGGACTGCAAGTCAATTGCATTCCAAATTATAACCATGTTTTGGTGTTTAAAGATGGTTTTCCAAGGAGCATATTCCTGGCCTTTTGGTCCATTGGGTTCCACTAAAATTACTTTCCCTCTTCTTTCTAGATGGGCCATGGTGATATCAAAAGCAAACAAGAAAAGAAGTTTGGAAACTACAGACTCTGAAACATAATAAGACAGGCACACATACCCCCGGCTGCTATACCAGGTATGTGTGCAGGCCACTTCCTGTCCCTGAGACAAACACCTGAGATAATGAACTTGAAAGAAGAAAAGCTTACCTGCTTCTGTAGGCTTTGGTCCATGGCCATCTGGCCTGTGGCAGTTCTGGGTGCCATGTCTGTGAGCATCTTCACTGCTGTTTGGAATTAGGATGAAATATGAGACCAATTAGGGCCACAGACAACAGAAACCAGGCACAGGGACAGGAAGGAAATTGGATCCTGGGGTCCAGGAGTGGGAGGGCAGGATAGGCATTGCCAGAGCCCCTGGAGCCCAGGAAAAACAGGCAATACTTGGTCCTGTCTTGGGCTTCATCTCCACTCTGGCCTGGAAGCTGCACCTTGACTCTGCACCCCAAGACCAAACATGGCAGTGGGGAGAAGCAGTTCCCCCAAGTCAAGGTTCTTAGGGGAGGGTATTCAAAAACCATAGCAGATTCCTAAAGATAGACAGTGGGGGCTTTTACATGTCTCTGAGATTCTAGCTTTCAATCTGCACCAACCCCATTTTTATCTTGAAGTAAAAGTGTAGGAATCCCAGGATTCTTGGGTTCGTTACCCGTCATGGCCAGGTTTAAAATCCCAGCACGTGGGACACAAGGAGATCCTCCTGCACTGTCCTGGAGGATGCTAAGGACAGGAAACATGGCTCACAGTGGCCAAAGCCACTAAGCTCCTCCTCAGAGTTGATGGATCCTTCATCAAGGTCCCGGCTACCCACTGCTAATGCTGCCATCCCCAGCAAGATGGGCTTTGGTGGTCATGGTTGCTTGTCCTTTGGGTTGCAGACCCAATGCCTCCACATTATGGTAGAACTCGGTCCCCTAAGAATCTACATGTTGTTGTCCTAACTCCAGGACCCCACTGGAAATAATGATAAGGTATGTAGGTGGGCCCTGATCCAGTCTATCTCAGATCCTCTTAAAAGGGAAAATATGGACACAAAGACCAGCAGCAAGGGAGGACAAGGTGAACCCACAGGGGTCACATCTATACCTCAAAGAGTGAGGCCTGGGACAAGTCCTCCCTCCAAGCTCTTAGAAGTCTCCAGCACTGCTGACACCACGACTCTGAACTCTGGCCACCAGTGCTCAGAGACACCATTCTGGTCGTGGGCACATGGCCCAGTGTGGATCTGGAAAAGCCATGTCTTCAGTTTCCAGCTGGCTGTCACAGTCAGAGTAGGAAGAAAGGGCCCCACTCGACGGGGACCACACTTTGGGTAAGGAGACAAGGCCTGCCCCAGATGTCTGGCTGATTCTGCCCCTTGAACTAGAATCCTGTCCTCTGGCCATGGTGGCTGCAAGAAGCCTGTGGTGCAAGTTTTGGCTTTCCCAGCTTTTCAGAGATCAGCAGTTGGAGGAGAGGGGTGTGAGAAAGAGGTGTAGCTGGAGCTCAGAGGGGTCCAGCCCCCATGCCACCACCTGGGCCCCTGCTGTCCCTTCCTGTGGCCTTCCACAAAGCTATGCTTTCCCGAGTGTGTCCATCACAAGCAGCGGGCAGCCTGGTGTTCAAGGCAGAGCTGTGGAGTATGAGAGAGGCTTCCCAGTGCAGATCACAGTGCCCAGTCCACTCAGCCACTTGCTGGACACCAGAGTCCTGTCCTCCTCATGCTACAACATAGCTCTTTCATTCAGAGATCCAACCACCTGCCAAGGATGGGCTTTGGGCACTTCCAAATGCTGTGATCAAGAGACCAGCGACAACAGACCCCAACACAGGCCAGCCTCTAGGATAAAAAAGGAAGAACAGACAGCACAGATCTCTTCCCCTCCTCGTGGGGATACTGGGAGCACAATTAATGCTGGCTCGTGTGGCTCCACCCATCAATGCTGGGAGGACATTGAGCCCCGGCAGCCAGCAGCAACCAATCAGGGTGCCCGGTGAGCCAGGTGGGACCCTTGCCCTGTTGGGAGACTGTCACCCTCCTCCCAAGCACTGGCTGATATCACAAAGGGCAAGCAGGGAGGTTGTACCACCTGGCCAGCTCCTGTCGCTCTGAACAGGGCAGTGGGAAACAGAAGTTCTTCCATCCATCAAGAACATAACAGCACTCTGCTAGATGCCCACCATCCCTCCCCAAACCCCAGGCCTTTCAGGGCCACTCAATGCTCTTTCATGAAGCATCTCACAAGTTCATTATGGAACATTCTGGGTTATGTGGCATTCTGGGCTTTGGAAGTATGTATACTCTGCAACATGCTCAGTGTCCCCAACCTTGGGACCCAGGAGACAATGTGATATGCCCACCCTATAACCATAGGGTGGATACTATATAAAAAAATAGGAAATACTGACAGCTGAGGAGGATGTAGGGAAACTGGCACATTGAAGTGAGAATGCAAAGTAGTCCAGCCCCTCTAGAAAACAGCCTGGTGGGTCCTCAAAAAAGTGAACACACAATCACAATATGATCATGCAATCCCTCTTTGGGTATAGGAGAATTGAACCCCAAAGAACGGAAAGCCAAGTCTCAAAAAGACATTTGCAGACTCACATTCACAGAGCATCATCCTCAGTAGCCAGAAGCTGGAAGCCACCTGAGTGTCCACTGGTGGTGATGGACATGCATATGGTGTGGTCCACCCTGTCCACAGGGTCCTGTCTGCAAAGTGGACCTCAAACATCCAAAAGGCTCTGTAGTGAACAAGTACAGATGTTTGTCCTTGTCATTCTTCCCTAAATAATGCATAAAAATAATTATTTATAGAGTATTTGCATTGCATTTGGCATAATTAGTCATCTAGAGACAATTTAAAGTATATGGGAAGATTGTGTAAGTTACATGAAAATATTACACTTTTTACATAAGAGATTTGAGTGTGGTATCCATAGAAGGGTCAAGGGCCAATTCACACAGATATCAGTGGATGAGCCTGTGTGTGTATGCGCAGTATACATAGATGAGATAGACAGAGATGACAGAGTCAGAGAGAGAGAGAGAGAGACAGAGAGAGAGAGAGAGAGAGAGAGAGAAAGAGAGAGAGAAAGAGGGAGAAAGAGGGAGAAAGAGGGAGAGGGAGGGGAAAAGGGATAGGGGTGTATAACAGATACAATTCAGCATTGAAAAGGAAGGAAATTCCAATACACCCTACAATATAGATAAGAAAGCCTGAAGGATTTTGTACTAAAGAAATAAATCAGACACAAGAGGATAAATACTGTACATTTCCATTCTTACAAGGATCCTACAGCTGTCAATGTCAGAGATAGAAAGTAGAAGGGAGGATGATGGAGCCTGGGAGAGGCCGTGGGGAGCTGGTGTTTCATGGACAGAGAGCTTTGGTTTTCCAAGAGGAAGCAGCCTGGTGATGGATGGTGGTGTGGTCAGCACTACTCAGCTGCACACTCACACATGGTGAAAATGCCAAATTCCATATTGTGTATGTTTCAGGACAATTACTTTTAAACAGAAGATACTATCATGAAGGAGTACAGCAGAAGAACAAGCAGAACTCGTGAGATCCCAGGGATGTGGCGTTATTCAGGGACAGTGGGGGCTGCTCGCCCAGCCCTGGAGGGGCCCAGTAACAGAGGACAGCAGAGTTGTAGCCACAAACTGCCACCTTGCCCCCTCTCAACCACCAGCTCCTCTGCAGGCCACACCTAGGGCCATCAGAGCATCCTGGGCCTGACACCCAGGCTCAGGGGACCGTGTCCTCCTGTAGCGGCATCCCTCGATGAGGGACAACAACGAACACAGAGCCCAGCATCCCCTAAGCTCCAGGGCTTATGGGATAATGTGGGGACAGACAGCAAAGAAGTCAACCTAGTTTTAGGTCTTGCTCAGTAGCAGGATAATAAACCAGGGGTGGAGGAGATGGGGGCACCCTATGGGGTGTCAGGAAACTTGCAAAGATGACAGCTGGCTTTAAGCTGTGTATCAGTCAGGGTTCTGCAGAACCAAACTAACAGAATGTGTGCAGAGGCAGAGAGAGAGAGAGAGAGAGAGAGAGAGAGAGAGAGAGAGAGAGAGAGAGAGAAAGAAAGAGAGAGAGAGAAACCCAGTTAACACAGATCTACCTTCTTAGCCAATTTCTAAATATTCAGTACAGGGCCGCAAACTATAAGCACTGTGACGGACAGGGAACTCTAGGACTTACGCATCTTGCAGACTCCAAACTTTGAGCCTTTTGGCAACACCTTCCTGTCACCCACCTCAGCCCAGACCCTAGCAGCCACCACCTCTGCTCTGCTTTGGGGTATGTTTCAGAGTCCTCACACAAATGGTATCATACTTGTCCTTCTGTGTGTGGTTTATTTCACTTAGCGCAAGGACACTCCGGTTCCCCTATGCTGTGACGAATGATGAGATGTCCTTCTTTCTCCAGGCTAAGTGACACTCTGCTCCATGTATAGAGCACCTTTCTTTATTCATCTGTCCATCCATGGACGTTCATGATGCTCCTGTGTTCCCCTGCTTAGAACAGCACTGCTGAGAGCACGGGAGTATGAGCATCTTCTCTAAGGTACTGATTTCATTCACTTCGGGCATATGCGCAGAAGAGAGCCACTGAATCATGAAGTATTGTGGATTTTAGCGTTTTGAAGGACCCCATACTGTTTCCCATGAGGCTGTTTGCAGGTACATTCCCACCAGCGGTGCACAAGGTTTCTTCTCCCTCCCATTACCACCAACACACCTCATCTTGCTTTATATGTAAAGCACCCTCACCACCAAGTGCATTCTTACAACTTGCACCTCCCTGATGAGCAGTGATATTGAGCATCTTTTCCTACACTATTCGTGTCTCTTCTTTTGAGAAATATCTCTTCAGTTCCTCTGCCATAGAGGAAATTCATAGAGATGGGTTATTTGCTTTTGCTTTATTTTTAGTCTTTTTTGCTATTGAATTATATGAGGTCCTTATATATATTGGGGTATTAATCCCTTATCAGTTGTATGGCTTGCAAATGAATACTTCTTCCCATTCTGAAGGTTGTCTTTCACTTTATCAATTGTTTCCTTCACTGCACGAAAGCTTCTAGTTTGATGTGATCTTGCTTGCCCAGTTTTTGCTTTCATTGCCTTTGACCTCTCAAGCATGCTCCCCTTAAGATGTTGCCGATTAGATGAGGCTTGCCTGCATGAAGGAAGAAAATCTGCCTACAGTCTCCTGACTCAGGTCAGTCACATCTGAAAGTGTCATGGCAACATTTAGGCAAGTTATACTGGAAACAACTAACACTGGCCAGCCAGGTTGGCATAAAATCAATCATCACAGTCACCACTGCCCACCTGGAGCAGCAGAGAGCGCTTGTGTGGAGCTGTTACACTGGATACCCTGCTCACACCTCGCATTTCTTTCTTTTGCAGAGAAAAAGAAAATCCGTGCTTTGAGATTAGAACTGGTCCACAGGAAGCTCCAATTTTGTGGGAAGTGGGCTGCACCTATCCTTCCAGCAGCAGCAGCATCAGAGCCCTCCCCGCGCCACCCCCCCCACGCCAACAGGGCCATGCAGGGCAACAAGAAGTGCACAGATGGCTTCAGCGACTCCTCTAGCATCGGCAGCGTGCTGGATGATGCAGACCGGGAGGTGAGCAACCTCACAGACCGGGCCTTCCGGAGCCTGTGCGTCTCTGAGGAGGCCTCCTTCCATGACTCTGATCTGGCCCTGTCCCCGGACATCTCCCGCCGGGTGTTTGGGCCTCTCCACCAAGGTACAGTGAGCCACGCCCACAGGAAGAGTGGCATCTGGAGCCAGCTTCCGCCACAAGGCACAGAGCACACGGGCTGGGCGGCCACTTTCCAACAGCTGCCCAAGTACGTTCAAGGGGAGGACAAGTACCCCAAAAGCAGCCCCCCACCCACTCCTGCCCAGCGGAGACTAGAGGTGCCAGTTTCTGGCCTGCGGAGCAACAACAAGCCTGTTTCCAAAGTATCATCCCTGATCAAGTCTTTCGACAGGACTGAGAACCAGCGCTGCGACAGTAGGCCACCCCCCAGCAAGCCTCCAGCTCTCAAAAATCCCCCCAAATTCACACCTCTTCCAGATAGCAGTGTCAACTTCTGCTTCGACTCTGCCTTTCTGACAGTCAGGAGGGTGCCTGCTGAAGTCTCCAATGTACACCAAGGCAGTCACCAGCCCACCCAGAGCCAGGGAGAACAAGAGTCCCCTAAGAACCCTGAGATGGCCCATCACAGCTCCGGCACCTTCTTGTCAAAACCGGACAGCGCGGCCAGCTTATTCGAGTCCAAATTCCCCTCTCCACCACACCACGCAGCCAAGGTGGAGCCTAGCAGAGTCCAGGAGTGGGCGCACAAAAGGACCTTTCTGCACAGTGAGAATAGTGCCTTCGAGTCGTGGGACGCCCACCAACCCAAGCTGCTGGAGAGAAAGAATGTCTCTGAAAGCATCTCTGAAAACAAAGTTCCCAGACATTACGAGGATGCAACCCCCATAAGAGAGGCCCATGCTCCGCAGCACAAGGTCTCTCCCCGCCCCATGCGGCCCAGCTGTGCTCAGGAGGAGAACTGCTCAGCCACGGGGGTTCTGTCCACCTCTGGACCCTGGGGAGCCAGGGATCTGGGAGCCCAGGTGGAGGGAAAACCACCCAGCTCACAGCCTGACCCTCAGGTGAAACCAACCCAGCCTCCGTGGAGAAAGCCGAAGACCAACAGGGGAGGGAAGGAAAATCTGGTAGATGTTGCAGAGGAACAGAAACAGACCCAGCGGAGAGGCCCCACTCTGTACACAAAGCACAACGTACAGGCGCACCCCGCAGAGAACGACACCATGGACGTGGCTGGGGACCGCGACCCGCATTACAGCCCTCCTTTCAATATCAGTAAACTCCTGACCCCTATCATCCCCACCAAGCACGCCCTGGAGTCATTGGACAGCCGGCCAGAGGAGACCAGCCCGTCCCCACCAGGGCAGCTGAATGGATATCAGGAGCGGGAGCCCAGCGAGTGTCCATCAAGAGACAGCTACAAATCCAAAGCACCCAGCCTGCTGTTCAATCTCAAGGACGTGCGGAAGCGCGTCAAGAGCACATACAGTCCCTCCCTTCTGTCCAAAGGCTTTGATGAGAAATCCCGAGGGAAGGCTGATGGCAAACAAGAGTCAGTGAGCAACGGAGTTGTGCTTCCCAACGGGATCGAGGAAAGTCCTCCAAACGAGCTATTTGCAGAGAGGTTAGCTGAGGACCCTACCACCTCGCACACCGGCACCCAGAACCCTCCAGCCCACCCCAGTGAGGCCTCAGTGCACAGCCTTGGCTCCCTCCCTACAGCTGCCACGACCTCTTCCTGTGTCAGCGAGAAGGCTGCAGGAAGGGGCAGCAAGGCGAAAGATGCTGATGACAGGGAGTCAGAGCCAGGCTCTTCCGAATCCACCTGGCATGCAGACAGCAGGAGACAGGGTCCCAGGAAGCATCTGTCCCTGAGGTTGTGCACCAATGAGTCCAAGGAGGAGACTGGGCAGGAAACAGGGCAAACCAAGCCCTACCACCTGGAGAACGGTCTCTTGCAATCCTCCTCCCAGGAGACAGAACCTGAACACAAGACAGGGCTTCCGAACCCACCCCTGGACCAGAAAGCCTCGCCAGGACCCCTGTCCCCCGAGGAGGAGGATGTGTTCTATAGTGACAGCCAGTCCGACTTTATGCCAGGCCTCCGCAGGAAGACAAAGTTTAGCACCAGCTCTTCAGATCAGTCTTTTGCTTCCTTTGATGATCAGCAGAAGACGTGGTTTTCCGAGAGCCAGCGGGAAGACAGAAAGAATGATGTGAGTGTAGGTGACAGTGAGAAGAAGGGACATGTGACAGGGACAGGTGACGTCCTGAGTAATGGGTACATGTGCATGGGAGAGCACAGCCAGGGTCAGGCACCGCAAAGCACAGGGGAAGGTCTGTGTGCAGGCGGACCCGGAAGCGTGTCCACTAAGGAAGCAAAACACAGAGGCTCTTGGATGGGGGAAAATAAGGACATGGCCCTTTCACAGGCCACAGACCCCACCCCTTCTCCATCTTCAGCTGTGAATAAGCACCTGCTGTTCACAATTAAAGACAACACCCTAAGGGCCACCCCTGTGATCAAACCCATCATCCTGCCACTCCTGAGGACGGTGTCCTCAGAGGACTCGCTCGGAGGTGGCCACAGAGAGGGAGGATCACCAAGGCAAGGCTGGGGTGAGGATGCTGGAGGGCGCAGTGTCCTCGAAAGCCGGGAAATGCCCAGCACCCCGACACCTGCTAACACGCGGGGCACACGCTCAAAGCACATGGCCTTTGAGGTCTCAGAGGATCCTGGGCAGATGTCCGTGGCAGCTGGGACAGACACCTCTCAACAAGACCCTGAGGGGACTTTCTCATCTCTGCCACTGGCGGGAGAGGGCAACAGGATGAAGCCACCCCCAGATAGGGCACAGGAAGTCATAGCTAGCAATAGGAGGCGCAGGCCCACAGACTCCAGGAAGCCGGCTGCCCCTAGACACATCCCCACCATCACTTTCCCTGAGGGTGATCTGGAAGAACAGCCAACCCCTCAGACACTGGCCACTTGCTGGGAAGAGCAGCAGGAAAGTATCCAAGGCCAGTTTCTGTCTGCACCCAGAGCAGGGCCACTAGGGCGAAGACTGGTCCTGGGCGAGATGGCGACATCCCCCAACCCCAGCTCCATGGGAGAGAGCAGCGCCTGCTCACCCTCTGCCAACAGCCTTTGGGACAGTGCCTCTCAGGCCCCTGGAGACCTGGGTCTGCTGCCCGAGGAGCCCCCTGGCAGCCCAAGGAGCCCCTGGGCTGGCCTAGATCCTACCAGGCTGGCACGGCGGGAAGACTTGATGCATGGCCTCATGTGGGAGCCAGATAGCTCAGACCCCCAGCGCCAGCTGGTCACAGAGGACCTCTGGGCGCTCTCCCCCAGAGGCTCCTTGCCAGATGCAGCCACCAGCCCTGAAAGACCTGAGCCTCCCATTCAGCTGGAGAGGGTGGCTGAGAAGCCCCCCGCAGTGCCCCCCAAAACCGAGAAGGCCCTGCGGCGAGCAAAGAAGCTGGCCAGCAAGCGGAGAAAGAGTGATCAGGTGGCTGAGCGGCTCAGTGAAGCCCGTGAAGTTCGCGAGGGGACCGAGCGTAGGCCCCGGGCCTTTGGGGAGGGACCCCAGCTCCCTACCGTGCGTGCACTGCCCCCTCCTGCACACCGCCACTCAGTGTCAGGTGTCATGGAACCCATGGGGAGGCGGCTGTGGGGGACCCAGTCCCTGGCACCCCTGCCCCCGTACCCTGCCATGCAGAAGGTCCTCCAGGACCCACAGTCTGGGGAATACTTCGTCTTCGACCTGCCCCTCCAGGTGAAGATTAAGACCTTTTACGATCCTGAGACTGGCAAGTATGTCAAGGTCTCAGTCCCCGCCTCTGAGGGGGCCTCCCCTGAGCCACTTGGGCAGGACACCCTGACAATGCCCTACCTGATGTACCCAGGTCTCCGGCCTGTGCCTGTCACAGCGCTGAGGCCCCTGCGCTGTTCTTCCCAGCTCTCCGCACCCACCTTCCTGGGGCAGGGCCTCCACTCTAGGCCCCACAGCGTCCACGACACAGGGCCTTGGCCCAACGCTGGGTCTCAGGGGGACACAAGCCCACCCAAGGCCACCCAGCATGCACATGGGCCACCCAGGGGCCTAGAGGATGAGGAAGTGGAAGCCCCAGGCCTGGCCATCATCTCCACCGATGACCTGGAGGACTTTGCCACAGAAGGCATTTCTTGAGGGTTAAAACAGACTGAGCCCCAACCCCCAAAACCAAAGAGCTTACATCCCATCCCCTCAAACAGACAGTCTCTCTCTCTGTCTCTGTCTCTGTCTCTCTCTCTCTCACACACACAGGCCCACACACACACATACACACAGGCATCAACCATATTCAGCAATCTGAGACCCCAAATGTCCAGAGGAAAGTGGGGATCTACCAGCCCCCTCCAAAGAGGGTGCTGTTCACCTGGCCCATCCCTGCTGCCTCTCCCCGCACCCGGCCATCCCACCCTGCCTGGGCCCTGTTCTAGGGTGATGTAGCTCAGATGTAGCTCAGATCCTCAGGGCTGCTGGACAGCAGCCTCCACCCTTTCTCAAGGTGGGCTAGCCAGGGAAAGCCTGGGTGTCCTACCTGGGGTAGGCCCGCACACCGCAGCCAGGCTGCAGGTCACCTCAGCAGTCTTGTAGAAATGATGATGGCGACGAGGACAGGTGTTGCTTTGTTCCCCACAGGGAACTTGCCTCCCAGCTCTATTTTCTGACAAAGAGAAGGCTACCATTTAAAACAATGAAACAAGTTTGCCAACCCAGTTTCTTCCCTGGACTCCTGTCTGTCTTCTGTGGGCAGTGTGGGGTGTGGGCCAGGAAATTCAGGGTCACATGCCAGCCATGAGGACCCCACAAGGCCTGGGGATCTGAAGAGATTCTCCCAGGGGCCCCTGGTTCCTCTAGCCCCTGCTATGCCTTCCTGGGCTCGGGCCTGCATTAGTGCCAGGGAGACAAAATGAGAAATCCCCAAGCCTACAGACAGGGATGGCCTAGGGAAACTAAGTCAGGACCTAGTGGCCCTGATTTAGTGGCCAGTTTCTGTGCTGTACCCTCAAAAGGAAGTTGTTTCCTTTGTCTTCAGCCTCCTCGGTTTGGAGGAAAATCTCTAAATGTGCATGGGGAGGCAAGATGGGTAATTGGCCCTACTCCCTGAGTATTGAGAGGGTCCCAGAGTGGCACACATCCCCATCCTCCCACAGCTTTCCCACCCCAGCTTCTGCAAAAGCCTCTGTTCTTGTTCATCTCTCCTTGGTTAGAATCTCAGCAGCAGCAGGATCATGCTGAACAAGTCCCACGGACCTCGCAACACACTGCGCCATTTCCACACCAGGAAGATGGAGAGGCCCTGGCTGCATCCCTAATGTCTCAGTCTGAACCTCCCCAAGTCAGACTGACATGGGTCCTCGGTTTGGTCAGGATAGAGGACTTTTGGGAGGCACTGTGGGTGGCTCTTGTTGGAACAGCACTGTCAGGTGAACAGGAGGAAGAGGGACTTGCCCAGGTGGGAGACAGTGGGTGCTACCTTGCACTCTGGAATGACCATCGCCATATGCTTTTGGTGTCATGGACACTGAATTGCAGCTTTCCATGACCCAGTTGTGTGGCTTCCAGGAATTGATGGCCAGGATCCAAGTCAGCATGAGGTGGCAGTGAGCATCGATGGAGGTCATCTGCGTGTAAATGAGGACACACTAGCAAATCTGAATTCTATGCACACAGAGGACATTGCAACCCAAGTGACTTGTGACACAAGACACAGTCCTCCCATTCATTCAGGTTTAAGGTCCAAGCTGACCAAGGTTTAAGGTCCAAGAGAGAACTCTGGACCATGTCAATAAGCTTTTACCCTGAGTCACGCTCAGGCTTCTTCCATGTCGCCTCTGGTGGGGGGACATTAGAGCAGTAGGCTCACCCCTTCCATCTGGCTGAGCTTCTCTCCTGCCCGGCCCCAGGAGAAGTCCCATCCTGTCTGGGCTGTGTAGTCACCCAGCAGAAATTTATCAACAAGACAGCTCTAGGCCCCACCTGCATCTCATCTGTCAGATTTTAGGTGCTAGGAAAGGGAAGCTGTAGACGTTAGTGCACTCCAAGATTCTGAAGCATGCAGACTCCTAAATGCCACCCCAGAGCAGAGCACTATACCTGGTCTGGCATACCAAGCAATAAAGCCAGGGCAGGTGTCCACTGGCAGGACTCTTCAGGCTCAGAGGAGGATGTGGACATTTGGGCTTTCAGGGAACTCAGAAGACCTGCTCCTCTCCATGGAGTGCTACTGCAAGGGTTAAGAACCACCAAAGGGGTGCCAGCCCTGCCCAGAGCCACCCAGGATATATGGCCAAACCCAGCAGCCTGGCTCATCTGGTCCATGTTGCCACTACCCACTCCCTTCCCTGCCTGGCTCCTTTGGATGGCCCTGCTTTAAAGGCAGTGCTTATTAGAACAGAAGGCTCCCTGCCACAGGTGAAGCCCTGGGCTCTGGTAGCACAAATGGATATCTGGAGATGAAGATGCTCTGCCCATCGTCACCCCAGGCAGGGAACCAACCTTCACTTTGTGTTGCTACAATCAAGTACCCAAGGCTGTGTACTTTATAAAGAGAAGAGGGCATCTGCATCCTGGTGAGGCCCCTGCCTATGTCACAGGACGGTGGGGAAACAGAAAGGGAACTGGTGAGTCTAGGGGACCAAGGATGGGTGCAGCACAAGAGGAATCAACCACACTCAAACCATGGTGCTGTGGTCCTCACTTGCCAAACTGTAGTTTGCACTGTGATTCCTATTATTGTTTCAGCACTTTCCTCAATCCCAGCGTGGGCCCCATCACACTAATACCACCTTCCTTCCTCCTTTTATGTCATTAGTCCTCCCAGACTCAAGCTCAGTTCCCACCTCCCATACCCATCCTTCCTATGATTTAAAGCCTGCTATCCTCCTTCAGGAGGGCATCTATGCAATGATATTGTTGGCACCTGGCTCTGTCTTCCATGGTCATTGCTGTATTTCCCTCTGAACTGGGGGGCTTTGGGCTGATGTGCTCTTCTTTCCATCCCAAAACGCCATGTTATGTGGCTGATCTTCCTCAGTATTCCTGTGCTTTTTTCCAGCCCATTCTTCCTTGATGACTGTATCAGTCAGCTTTCCATCACCTATAAGCTCAGTCTCACAAAGCTTTAGGGCATAGACAAAACACAGACAAATTCTTTACCAGAATATAATATGCATGGCCTCTAGTCCACTTCCCAATGGAGTCTTCATTCCATCTGAAACCTCCTGATCCAGGCCATCACTGTCCTCATTCCTATTAGCATTCTGGTCTTCTGGTCTCTGTATCATCCATCAAGCTCATCTTACAACATTCTAGGGTTTCTCTAGCCAACATCTCTAAACCTTTCCAACTCCTACCTCAAACCAGATCCAAAGGCTTCTGTACTACATGATCAGGTACAGTCATAGCAATGACCTTACTCGCCATAGAAATTTTGTGTAGAAGTCAGCCTTCCGTTACTAGCACAAAATGCCAGACACACATAATTTAAAGGAGGTTTATTTTGGTGCAGAAATTTCAGTCCACAGTCATCTGGCTCCAAGGCAGAAATATGGCAGAGGGACCAGGTAGAGGAAAGCTGCTCTATCCATCAAAACCAAGAAGTGGACAGCATTGGAAGAGGCCAATAAAAAGAAGGCCAGGGACCAAATCTAATCCCCAATATCGTGCCCCACCCATGACTCACCAGACACACCAAGAAGTGTGCTTTACTAATCTCCTTGGCATATCTCAAACCAATCAAGTTGAGAACGATGATTAACCATTGCAGTGATCAAAGCAATGTCAATAAGCAGTTAAGAGTTAATCCAGTGGTTATCTCCCAGCAGAGACTCCAGCCAACACTGCCATCATGGCAACCCTGTGGCTGCTTTCTCACACCTGTGACTCATCACATGCCTACAGTAGGAGTCATACACTGCACAGGCCAAGACCATCTCAGTGCAGCTCCAGTCTCACCTGGACCACACACATTAACAGACTGTTAGTGGATTCAACCACTAATAACTTCACAGCTGAATGTGTTGTTTGGAAGTGGGGATTGGTAGGAGGTAGTTTGCTGTTCCTTTGCTCTCTGCTCCCTGGGTGCCATAGGCTAAGCACCTTTTCATTGTCCATGCCCTTTTGCCATCCTATTTCTGCCCTCTAATCAGTACACCAGGGACTGGACCCTCTGAAATAGTGAGCCAAATAAACTGTTCCTTTAAGTTGTGGGTGTTGGATATTTTGTCCCAACAATAGGAAAGTAACTAACACACACTAACCTATACAATCTAGTAAACTGATTTCCATGAGGGTAGGTGTCTTTCTCTGAGGAACCTTTGACCAGTGCTCAACATTCCTGGTCACTGGAAAAATGTAGATTAAAACTATAGTGACACTCTGCCATACTCATTAAGATGGTTACTCAAAACAGCAAGAGCAAAGATGGGGAAAAAATGTTGACTAGGTTTGGAAGAAAATGAAACTCCTATTAACTGTTGGTGGGAATGTAAAATGGTATGACTGCTGTGGAAAAATTTGGCAATTCCTCAAAGAGCTAAACATAGAATTACTACATGGTCCAGCAATTCCACTTATGGGCACTTATACACACACAAAAAAAATGAAAGCTGGTACCAAATAGATGTTTGTCTACCCATTCATAACAACTACTAATGATAGTAGAAACAGGGGAGCAACTCAAGTGTCAGTTTCTGGGTGGGAGATACAGAAAATATGGTATGTCCATATAGTGAAATATTACATACCTTTAAGGCAGTTCTGATTCACACTGCAATATGTATGGACCTTGAGGACACGGTGATCAGTGAAATAAACCAGCCACACAAGGACCAAATGCTTCACAATCCCATGGCTCTGACAGCCATGGTGCAGCATGATTTATAGCTGGAGAAGACAGCAGTGGCTACCAGACCAGGGGTGGGGCAATGGGGACATGGGGATGGGGACTTGCTGTTTGATAGGTACCAAGTTGCAGATGAGGATAGAAAAGCTCAGGAGGTAGAAGGTGATAAATATACTTAATGTCACTTACTGTGCTTTTAAATATGGCTAAAATGGTAAATTTTAGGTCATGTATATTTTACATTTTTTTTTGAGAAAACAACCAGACAAGCCATATGCCCAGTGCAATGCATTCTATCTGCCCACAGGAAACATTCTAGTGTGGCTGGAGCCCAAAGTTAGTTCCCTGTTCTGTCCCTCTCCTCCCACAGACAAAGAAGCAGGGGACAACAAGAAGAACTGGGGATGCTAAGCCCTGTGTGAGCCAGGACAGCCTGCTCAGCACTATGGCAGGTGACCACACCTAACCCCACAGAAAAACGTGGTGGAGGAGGAAGCCCCAGCATCCCTGCCACCATCTTAAGCCCTCTCTGCTGGCCCTGAATCCCACAGCTATACAGCCTGATAGTCCCAGCTGCTTCTTAGGTGCAGCTCCCACCACTCCCAAACATTGCCCCTGTCCAACTGGCCCCAGCCTGTCCACTCCACCTCCAGGTCACTGTCCATCTGCAGCCCATAGTCTTTCCTCACCCCATTGCCATCATCACCTCATCACTGTCCCTGATCTCCATGGGCCCTCCTTCCCAGCCAGTCCCACAGGGCAGCCCTCCCTTCTGGTCCCTTCCCTCTCACCCTCACCTCTTACTGCCAGCCTTCTTCTCCCATTTCCTATGTCCTGAGTGCACAGCCTCCCCTACAGCTTCCTGTGGAT